CTATATCACTTTGGAAAGAGACTACAATTAGTTTCCATGAAATAGTGGGATTTTTTATTTGGGATGTAAAATACTCACTTAACGATAGGGATCAGAAAGCCTCATCCCCAGGCTTTGATTTATTGCTAATTACTAGCCCTGTAACCTTCTGGTTATGCAAAATTTGGGTTCGAGATGCTTTGGAAGTTTGACTCTTTTAATTACTGATGATTCAAAAGAATGCTAGGAATGATGATACCCATGTGTGGATGAACGTCTGAATAAATTAAGATATACATGGAACTTATTGCGGTTTTCTTTTTTCATAGAAATAGACTGTTAGTGCGTTAAAAGGATTTGATTGCCCACATCTTATAGGGAAAATTCTAGATGTTGGGAATGTTGATATGCGTTTTCTAATACCAAGTTGATAAGTATGCAATATTGGAGAACCTAATCATCAAGCAGAGGACCCTCTTGAGTATGGGTACACAATCTAGGCTAGTCACAAGAAAGAGAACTTATTAGGCATGGATCAATAATGATCTTTATACACGTCTCTATCTTAAATAGCATGTACAATGACCAAAGAGGTTAGTTTAAAAGCTTTCCAATAGCCAGGAACATAAGGTAAGCCTTACAACTCCAATTTGCTTAAAACTTAGCTAACATATTGTGTGCACTCTTGCAGGCATTTAATATGTACTAAATGCCACCAAATGTCTCCATGATGGAGCATTTGAGGAAAAAATCACAGAGATATATGAAATGAGTGCTGCTGCTATCATTTCAAGTGACAAATAGTAGGTAGTAGTTTTCCTCTTGTCACTGCCTCATTCTTGGGAACCAGATGGAGATTTCCCAAGATGGAGATATTAGTGATGCATATTTTAAATGTCACTAATCTCAACATCTAGAGTGAGCCATAGTGCCTCTTTGTCTGTGAAACTAGGAAACATCATGCTTACCATATTATATTAGCACAAAGGTCGCGACATTCTTAAGGTCAAGCCTAAGAGCAATATTCCGACGAGGAAAGAGGAGATGAAAATTGAGGGTTCCAATGGCAAATATAGGCGAGGCAAACAAATCACTCTATATGAAAAAGTTACCCTTGACTTATTACACATGGCAAATAAGGTAGAAAGTTCATTCAGCTTCCTGATGTGCAAGACACTACATTTAAACCTTGAGTCACTAAACTCATTTCTAAAATAAAAATAAAACTTAATTCTTAGAAAGGTGTGGTTTCTATAAGCTTGCAACCTTAAATAATCCAATTAAGACACACCTCCAAATTTTATCATAACATGTAACTTTGGTATAAAAAATTCTTAGGATTATCTCAAAATCTATTTTCATATCTAATTATAAAATTTTAAAATTCAAAAACAATTAAAATTAAGTAGATCTATAAACATATGAAAACATTAAAATTTGACGGTCTAGATAATGTGATGCAAGATGCACTATTTCTAGGACTCAAAATATTTTATTCTTTTTCATATTCATACATCTCGTTGACGAGATGATCAATTAGAGGGCTTTCAACAGTAAAACAACCTTTTCCAATGGATTTTTGAGGTGCATCTGTAATTCTACATTTTAAGGTTGCAACCTTATATAAACATTTTCCTTCTTAAAATAGGACACCTATTACTAATAGATGGATGTCCTATTTCTAATATAATAGATGGATGTTAAAATTGGATACCTTTGAAGAGATTTTCGAAATAAAAATTGAAGTACTAATTCACAAAGATGGATGTTTATACTTTAAAGAAGTACACAGACAAACCATTTAACTTTTAGTATAAGGATGTCACAATCACTCTTGACCATCAGATTTTAAATCGGATGGTTGTAAGTATATCATTAAGTAGACTAAAAGTTCAAAAAAGACTTTCTCAAACTTCACAACGCGCACTAAGCCATCTAATTTGAAATCTAACGACTAGGAGTGACTATGATCACTTTGTTGTTAGTGTATGGATATCTCATGTTAGTATTGATATACATCATTACCAATACATATCAATATGGATATGGATATCTCGTGTTAGTATTGATATACATCATTATGGATACATATCATTATAGATATGTATCTGTATGGGTATATATCTCTTGATAAGATTAGTTGTCTAGGCAAGATTAGTTAGTAATTATCAATAACTGTTGGTGTTTATCCAGAACTGTTGCTAGCCATATATTTATACGGGGCCTTGTACGTTCTTTATTAATCAATAAAGAGAGAGTTCTTTATAATATTCTAAAATAATATTCCATGGGGGCCTAAGGCCGAAATATACAGAAATATAGTTTCTAACATAGTATCAGAGCCATAGACTCTGCAACCTCCTATCTGGGCTCGCTAACCTCAGATCTGAGGATCTGTTCCTTCTCGCTAGTATCTCATTCCTCTCTACATTCATCGGTGTGATATTTGGATTTCTGTTTCACTTCTCTAGACCGTGAAACCTATCCCGTGCAAAATTTTTCTTTCCAACAAGTTTGCTTTCCAAGCTTCTATTGACATGTCCCCATTGCACCATTATATTGGCATGTGACCCTTGCTCCATCTATTGGAAAGTCCCCTTTGCACCATGTTTTGCACCATCGTGTCCATAAAATTCCTTTGCTTTGCAACTTTGTGAAACCGATTCAAACCCCTTTGCGGCTCTGCAATTTGAATTTTCTTATTACTCTTTGAAGGATCCCTCACAAAACCTGCAAGATCCATGGATGAAAATCCAACCCCTGATCTCGGCATTACTGTTCTCAACCATTTTGTAACTATAAAGATGGTTAGATGTAGTAAAAAGCTGCCATATGTTTTTTGTAACTGCTGCCTGTTGTTGTTTTCCTCCTCTAAGATCTGCTTCCAATATGATATGTAAGCCTTAAAGCCCCTCCGTTATTTGCCACCTCTGAAATAATGGCCTCTCAAAACGGTCGAGCTGCCCCATCTAAAAAAAACAAGAAACCGCTCTCTGCCACCTCTCTGCCTATTTTTGTCTCTAGATCTTGATCTTTGGTCAAGATCCATTTGAAACCTCGTCAGTCTGGCCAACCTGCCTCGCCAGCCACCCTGATCTAATCTTATCTGATGATCGAGTTTTTTGTTACTCGATCACGTCTGATGATCGAGTTTTTCGTTACTCGATCTTGTCAGATGATCAAATGTTTTGTTTCTCGATCCCGTCTGATGATTGAATTTTCCGTTACTCATTCTCGTATGTTCTGAAGGCCTGTTGGTCTATTGTTGCTTGAGTTCTCTGCAAACTGCTGAATATGTTGTCTCTTCAATGTGCCATTCTGTTTTCTCAGCTGTCGCGACTGTTTTTTCTGGTGAAGATCGGAAGTTTTTTTATCTAATGGCTCAAGTCTGTTCCAGATGCCATCTGTTGTTCCTGAGACAGTTTGTTCCTGAGGCTTATTGATCTGCGACTACAATTCGTGCTTGTTGTTTAAGCAATCTGAGCAATATGAAGATCACCACTCATTTTGGCAATTTAGTATTATTCAAACTCAAGCTGTTTTGTGTCAAAGCATCTTGAGTTTAAGAGGAAGTGTTAGCGTATGGATAACTCATGTTAGTATTGATATACATCATTACTGAAACATATCAGTATGGATATGGATATCTCGTGTTAGTATTGATATACATCATTATGGATACATATCAGTATAGATATGTATCTTTATTGGTATATATCTCTTGGTAAGATTAAGTATCTATGCAATATTAATTGGTAATTATCAATTACTGTTGGTGTCTATCCAAAACTGTTACTAGCCATAGATTTATACGAGGTCTTACATATTCTTTATTAATCAATACAGACAGAGTTCTCTGAAGGATTATGAAATAATCTTCCATGGGGCCTAAGGCTCAAATATACAGAAATACAATTTCTAACATTTGTAACAATCGTAAATGGTTGTATAGTATACAATCCCTTATACTTCTCCTTTACATTATCATCACGAAATACTCGAAGTTTCTTCTTTAACTATGAGTATGGAATAAGTGAAGTAACTGAGGGTAGCGGAAGATTCATTAAAACATCATTAACTGGTACATGGGGTCAATTATCCTGCGTTGGCACCTTGGACGAATTTAGATAAATACTCAAGAGATTTTATTTCAAGTCTCATCACACGGATCATCGTCACCAGAGCCTTATTCCAATTATTTGGGACTGGCTCTCTCAACACACACGTGCTAAGGGGCTGATTCTTTGGCTGACAATGGGTTGGGAGGAGTAGTCTTTAATTTTGGTAGAATTTTTGCATATTGTTTTATTTATTTATTTATTTATTTATTATTATTATTATTATTATTATTATTATTATTGTTATTATTTGATCTTTTTGTTGCATATCTTTTGTAAAAGGCTTATACCATGTAAATGTTGTAAAACTAGTTTGCAGTTAACGACAAGGTACTAAATCAAGTGTACATTAAATCACTCCTACGAAATATGGGCACATGTGCTTGCTTATATTGCTTTAGAAGTAATATTAGAGTTGCCAATGGGCCGATCCATTGTTGGCCTACTCAAAATTTGATTGGAAGGAGCCTTATTCAAGCCACATGATTTAATTTAGTGTTAGGCTTGAGCCTGGTTCACTGGCCTCATACAATTGCCTAAAGGCCCTTGGATCATGTGGCCAGCCCTTCATGTATGAGGTTGCCAATAAGCCACGATAGGCATGGCCTAGCTCTTATAACCACGACTGCACTCAATATGGGCCCAGTCACCTTAGATTGGGCAGGACTAAGTTAGGCTTGGGAGCATCATCAGGCTACCTTCGCCCAGGTCAAGTCCATCCCAATTGGCAGCCTTAATTTGACCAATATTCTTAGGGTGGAAAATATTACAAACAAGGATAAGAATTAGACTGCCTTTTCTAAAATTTGGATAATTTAAACCCCAAGTAATTTTTGTTTTATCCTCTATTTATAATGTAGAAAATTATGAAATATTGTTACTTAATAGCTTGTGTCTCAATAGGGGTACTTGGATGAATATGATAAGCTGCTTTCGGTGCTTCATAAAGTTGATGCTGTGATCGCATTGTTGCCCATTCCACAACATTTAGAGCAACTCAAACTCATAAATGGCATCAAAGAAGTGGGAAATATTAAGGTAAATTAATAATTTGATTGTACCAAGAGCTGACATGCACTAGTATTGCTGGTTAATCCTTGCACTATAATTTTGTTTGTTTTCTCTTCCTTTATTCCTGGCTTTTAAAGTTTTTGCTATTTGCATCCACATTTTACTATTCCCACCTAAAACATATGTTTGAATACATCTACAGAGGTTTATCCCTTCAGAGTTTAGCGTTGAATCAGGCAGGGCACATAGTTTGCCTTCATTTCAAAGAATAATTGATACTAAGAAGAAAATTAGAAGGGTTATCAAAGAGGCCAAGATTCCACACACTATTGTTGTTGAGAATGCCTTTGGTGCTTACTTTGTAGATTACTTGCTAAATCCTCAGGAACAAAGGGATGAAATTACAATCTATGGGGATGGCAAAGCAAAAGGTATGTTCCTATTTCGTAATCTATTCAGTAATGGGTGAGAAATGAGTGGAATATCATTTGAACTTTCGAGTACTTCTATTGGAGAATAGTTTACTTCTATTCCCTAGGTTAGAAACTACTTCAGAGGATTTATTCAATCTGAAATTATGGGAACCACTTCAGAATTACTAGAGGATTATGCTCCAAAACACTTGAAAAAAATTGAGTTTTCTAACAACTAGATCTCATCATTTAAAATTGGATAGTTGCTATTCAACCTCAAGATACTATTTTTTCAAATGTATAGAGTACCGTAATGCAATTTTTTTATTATTGAGTTTAATCTATGGGTTGGAGAGCTTACATCCCCAAAATTTGAGATACTACAATCAAATCTTAGTGGAGTTTTACTCAAGGGAGTAAATGGACATTCTACTTCCACGGGAGTAGAACATCATTTGGCTTTTCAAGAAAAATGTCACAGAAATCGCAGCAACACTTCTAAAAAAATATATATATATATATATATATATATATATATATATATAGAGAGAGAGAGAGAGAGAGAGAGAGTAGAGAGAGAGAGAGAGAGAGAGAGAGAGAGAGTAGACGTAGTATAGTACTAT